CATTGTTGAACAAACTAAAGTCAATGTAAGCTTTAGTCTTTCCAGATACACACGCAAGGTGGTAGCCCCTTTTAATTTCTAGAGAGCGAGCACTGTAGGCTGCTTCCCTAGTCGAACCAATCCCGTCAGAAGCTACCCAACGAAGCAGTGATTATGCTCATTTCATATGGGCACTGTTTTGTCTAGCTTATAGCGAGAAAGAGCGTTCCCCTTGCCTCAGTGCGGTGCTTAAATCGGCCAGCCCATAATCACGTAGGTACATAATGAAGTATTTGTTTATCCAAACTTCAAAAATAATAATATCTTTTAATCCGTTCTAAGAAAGCGCAAACAGAGCCATGAGACTTGAATTGCGGACTTCAACAATAAGAATTTTATGAATTCTACAAACAAATTTGAATTAGCCAATAAATTGGCTACCATATTTTCAATAAGTTCTTGCAATATTCAAATTGCAGTATCAATGAATTAAAAACTTAATTCAAGTGAAAAAATAATAAGCAATAACTTACTAAAATAAAAAAAGGGTCTATGTTCAACGCACTTTTTTTCTCAAGACCAAGGAAAAGTAGTTTTTTCCTTGCGCCCTATAGTGGCATATGAAATGGACGGATGTAAAAAAAATTAGCAAGCATTTTCCGCAGGATCTCTTGCAAGAAGAAAAATCTCCAACTCCGACTTGTCAATTTTATTTCTCATGGAAATAGCAAGTTAAATGAATTTATATGTGCACCACTTTATGCTCTTTCTTTGTAGATCATGTTTTAATAGCAAGACATATATTACATTTTTTTACATAATCTTAAAAATGTTAACCGCATTTTTGAAAAATATTAACACTGTGTATTTTCTTTCTTTGTGTAATTTTATAAAATGTTTATAGGATTGAAAAAATGTGCACATGTTTCAAAAAAGTGTAAATTTCATTTTGGAAAAAAAATTATACAATGTAAAAAATGACCGTGCAATTCAAAGAAAAGTTTTCTATCATTGAAAAATATGCACATAAGTTTTTTTAAAGTTCATGTGTTTCAAAAATATTTGTGACATTTCTAAATATGTTTATACTATGTAAGAAAATGTTCTCATAATTTAATATTCTTTTGTATCATTCTAAATTTTTTACACATATTCAAAGAAATGTTCAAAAACATGCATTTTATTAAATGTTAATCATGTATTTTCAAACAATTAAACATGTATAAAAATGTTTTATATGTGTAAAAATGTAAAATGTATATGAAAAGGTAGACACAAAACACATATTTCAAAAATATATTAAGCATTTATGTAAAAAATATTGAACATATATAAAATGTTCAGGATGTATAAAAAATTGTACAAGGTATATGAAAAAGAGTAGACATGTGTTGAAAAAAAGGAAAATGCATAAAGGAAAAAAAACTGAGGAAAATTGGTGAAAATGGTAAAAAGAAACAAGGAAAACAAAAGAAACTTGAACAAAAAACAAACCAAAACCAAAGAAACCGATGCAAACAGTCAAAACTAAAAAAGAAAAATACATAGGAAAAAAAACTCGGAAAGTCTACTAGGTCTTTCCATTAGCCTCGCACCAGATGTGAGTCGGAGGTACGTCTCACAATAAGTGAGACATAGCTCCCGTGGCATTGCACAACCTGACATTGGGACCATTAGTCTCTTTATGGGCCTGTACAATTTGTGTCATGAGAATGAACACATTCTCTAATAAAAATGCTAGAACACATTAGATTGCTATATCTCCGCCTCCACATCGCAGAGAGAATATCACATGGAAACAAAGTTTAGGTGGAAGTGGAAACCACATGAAAAACTGTAGTCAAAGTTTTAACTCTTTTTATAAAACAATACAATATGTTAAGAGCGTGATGTTCTGTTAGCATGTGAAATTTCAAGTTCAAACACAATTTCATTTACGAGGTACATAAAACAAAATCAACATTAAATAGCGCTGACAGGAAACACACTATTCATTTCTGACTTTTTTCATAGCTCGTAAATAGTTTTGTGTTTGAACTTATAACACCCCTCTCTTAACCTAAACATATTTTCAAGAATATTTTAAAACTTTCAAACGTGGTTTTCAAGGAGTTTTCATGCATTGAAACTTGGTTTACACATGATATTCTCTCCATCGCATCTAGGTATCTTTGTGGACTCCAGAGCTTGTCCCAGCTCTTCCAGTCGAACAACAGATACGTGTCTTGCGAATATATCAGGGCTATATATTTGTCTTGCGAATAGACAAAAAGAAACTGGTAGCACGGACGGCACCAAGGAAAAAGTCGCGGAGCTAGCCCTAGCCAACCTGTGCTGCTTGAAAGGAGAGATCGGTCGGCCAAGTGAGCGATTAATGGCCAACTTGACAGGTTACCAATCAATCACTGCTGCTAGCTCGGCCGGCCCGTGCATCGCCGTGTCCATGTAGTACTTACTGTACGTAATCCCCTCTGGGAATCATACGGCCGGCTGGGGTACGTACAACGTGCATGCATCCATCGTCGATCCCACATGCATAGCTTACAGCCTCGTTCGGTCATTCCTCTCATCCAGCCAACCTCTCTGGCAGGCTATAGCTACGCTCAGCCTGGGTTGCCGGCCGGGTAACCATGCTGTGAAGTGTAAAAACCGGAGAGTTGGGTACGTACCATACGTACGACCGGCAACAACACGCGGCAGAGTAACTACTGGGTAAACAAATGGGATTGGCATTTAGGACATGTCCCGTCCATGGATCGACCACGGCTACCACAGCGCATCTTCGCTCGCCAACACGTACACCTTACGTAATGTATGTACGTATGCAGGCAGTTATTACTCCATGCATGCATGCACGTACGCACGTACAGTAGTACGTACGTTACGTTACAGCCTATTAATGGCCGTAAGGCCACCAGAATATGAGGTACGCAACGGAGAGTAGGAGTATTGCTGCTTGGCAATGCATTGATCCGTCTCTTAATGGGTCGCAAGGCCGGTTGATATGATCGATCGGTCGGTTTAATTTGGTGATCGACATGGATTGAGCTGATCGTCATCAAGTCGCTCGATTGATCGGGGGTTAGTTACGCCGCGTGCATAAGTCAAACCCTCTCAACAACCGGTGCCGTAACGTCATTAGCTCCATCGATCAAATATAATGCCACGATCGATTAGGTTGATGCATGCATATGTAAGCCAAAAATATATCTTTGTCTTTAGGCAACCATCACCAAGAAGCTAGCACCTCTCGATATATAAACCGTCGCCCCATACTGCTTCCGTTTGTTCAAGAAGGACGGCGTCGTTTTTTCTTTTGAAGTTCGACGGTGTCGTTTTCTGTTGGTTATTAATTTGATTAAGACATATTGTGCCACGTGTTTTCTCTATACATGTGCGCTTTCAATCGATGATTTTATGGTTGGACAAACTATGAAACCGAAATTCATGGTACTTTTGTTGATAAATCGTTAAAACCTCTAATTTACAAAAAAAAAATGTATGAAGGAGGTGGGTAGCTGGTGGAGGTGGCTGTATTATTCTTTTGGCATAAGGGGACGTTCCATTGATAAAGCGGCACATGTGCTGATTTTTATCAATCTTGAAGCTCCACAGCTCCAGTCTTCAGCAGATGCTATTTGAGTGTACCCAGATGGCGGGGTGAGTGTGTATGTGTCTGTGTTATACTCTGGTTAGAAAAGCACCAGTACCACTTTCTTCATAACTAGAATGTAGTTAAATTATTTTGTGTGTACCGCAAATTAAGCGAATGTGGTATTGGCCATAGGTCAAGCATGCATTTTTCAATGGAAAAAAATATCAACAAATCTTACAATGACAAATTGTTAGTTTACAAGGATCTTTCATCATAAAAGTAGCTAAGATGTGCTTGAAAGATCGGCTGCATGAATAGTATATGAATGTACCTAGTGTCCAATCTCCATCAACAATGGTCCTTAAATCTGAGATTAATAAATAGGATGGTTATAATCGAGAAATCGTGATCAGCCGTGGAATTTTGTATCAGCATTGATGTTAAGTTGGCATGCATTAAAACTTTAATTAAAGTTTGGTTTGTTTTACAAAAATCAAGTGTGCGTGCGTGCGTGCGTGCGTGCGTGCGTGCGTGCGTGCGTGTGTGTGTGTGTGTGTGTGTGTGTGTTGCACTCCTCCAACTTTAACTAAAAAATGGTAGTTTTGGACAGAACATGATGTGTAAAATAAAAATTAATCCAAGTTTTTGGCGGTGCCTCGCAAAAATTCCAGTTCAAAAGGGTCTGTTTGATTTGCACAAATTGGGGAAATAAAATCAAAACTATGAAATACATGAAGATGAGTGCTATCTCCAATTCTGTTTGATTTGAAAACACAGGTTATGTCAATAAATGACTTTTGGTCGTACCACAAGAATAAATCATAGCAACACAGGACTCACAAGAACATCTTCCTCTTGTATGCTTATTTTGCCCCTCCATTCGGCATTCAATAATAGGGCGCCCAACCCGTTCTATCCTGTAATATTTAGAATACAATCTGTGTGAGAGAAATTATACATTAACTAGTTCTGGTTCAAGGAACTTTTGCCTGATTTCAACAATTTATCTTTGACTATGTTAATATCTACTAAACATTTTTCCTTTCGATTTGAGTGCAATATGGCCCATAAAAAGCATATATGTTTCCAAAAATTAAACTTGTTCTCTCATATATATGAAACTGAAAAAGTTTGATCCCCCAACTCATTAATCAGCTGTGACGTGCAAAGAGCATAACTACTGCCAAGTACATGAGGCAAATTGAAGGTACTAAATGTATGAATTGTACTAGTACCACCTTTTGGGAGGGCATTGAAGCGCCGCTTACCAAATATATATAAGTAGGAGATTGCCACTGCACAAACTACCATTATTATATCATATTACGGTAATTAATACAGACAAGATAGAAAGAAATGATCCGATCGACGTACACACACGTACGAGAGGGAGCATTAAATATCACCAATTATATTAGCTAATTAGCTAGTGATCGAAGTCGAGATCAAACATGGCCTGCCCGAGCTGAAGGATGTTGCTGTGCTGATGGAATCCCAAGGCTGGCTGTTCTTGCTGCACATGGCCGATATTTGACGTGTTGTCAGTGCTCGAGACAGCTTGGCTCTGAGGGAAGCACGAGCCTGCAGAGGACGAAGGGAAAGGGAAGCCATGTTGGCTTTGCAGGTGAAGACCATGGCCATGGTGTCCCTGCTGCTGCTGCTGCTGCTGCATCATTGATGCTTTCCCCTTGGGATCCACCTGCATTTCTTTCACCGCCTCTCCGTGGCCCATGGTTTCGTCCTGATCTTTAGACAAGTCTCCACTCCCCAGCTGCACTTGTATGTCCATCGCGTCTCCGGTCCCGGTGCTTTTGCTGCTGCTTCCGGCTGCTTCTGTTGACAATTATTTGTTAGTATTTTGATGTGTCAATTACTTGGTAAGTTGAAGGCAAAACTAAGGTAATATTTATTAATACTTCCTCCGTCTGAAAAACTTGTCCCAAACTTGTCTCTTAAATGGATATATCTAGCATTAACTTGGTGCTACATACATCCATTTAAGGGACAAGCTTTTCCGGACGGAGGGAGTATGTGTCAAGGCAATGCATGATTAGATAGAGAAACATGCATGGACGGATGCATTTCACGTACTGCCTTTGGCACTTGCTGCTTTGCTGGCCTGTGCCCTTCTCTTGTCGGCGGCATCACCCTCGGACGGCTTTGACTTCCTTCGACGGCGGTTGTGGTCGGCGAGGCGTTTCCTGCAGCTCTTCTTCGCGTCGTCGAACTCATCAAGCAGATGGAATCTGAACGAAGAAAGAGAATAGGTTAGAACAAATTAACAGCAGAACTGTATAAAAAGACATACACATGAAATACTAATGTGTGGCTGACAACACACATAAAAATAGGGACATATGTGCATGGTGTATCATCAATTTATCCATAGCATGCATGCATGAGCTGGCTGCAAATCCTAATCCTAGGTAAGACACAAATTAGTGCATGATCAGAGATCAATTCTGGACCGAAAGAACATTCTGGCTGGGGACCGATGCAGTAGCTAGGCAATGATGATCCTGAACATGAGAAGCATATATCCCAAACTGTTGCCATCGATCCCACGCAGACAGTTTGGAGCTTTGCAGCCGACTCATATGGAGTGTCTCCATATGGTGTGTCACACTGCAAGTGATCCCACTGTTTCCCTTTGAATGCGTTGCTACTCTTCACACGTGCATCCTAACAGAGATCTCGCTGAAAGGGCAGGTAAAAGGGATGGTCTGATAGAAATGCCTTTACGCTGTCTGTCCAACACATTGTTA